GAAACTTGAATTCAGATGACGACGTCTGGTTTAATGAATAGGACAACGTCTTCCAACTTTTAATAGAAATATAACAAAATGTTAATTATTAAGTTTTTAGCGATGATGAGTGAAGGTTCTAAATTACATATACTTTATCTCGTTTTGATGTTTTGATGAAAAAAATAATTTTACCTTTAACAAACAAAAAAATGAAAAGATTACTATTGTTTTGATCAACTAATCAGTGAGGTCTATTTTTTTTTAAATAAAATATATACCCAACACAATTATAGATTATATTTTAAGAGAATAAGGATATTTTGCATACTCCCAATATCATTATTTAACGAGATCTCTTGTAAATGCCTTGTTACTATGTAAAGTTGACTGCAATGTCCTTACAAAAAGTCGATTATTATATGAGAACGATTGCGGAACGTACTTCGAACAAATACCTGTTTGGTGGAGATTAGTATTTATTTTTTATTTAAAATAAATATCCAGTGCCTAACGAGGTTACAAGTTACAACCTATCGCTTTCTCTCAACGAAAGCTTCCCATTCTGCTACCTAGGCGGTTTACTCAGTAGAGACACGGTTGTTTCTTTAAATTTGTTCACTTACTCCAAATTATTTCCAACACCACTTTACTAGAACATGAAGAAGATTAACCTATTCCCGACACATAAACTACAAATTGCTACAGATCAATTGTTTTAAAATTGTTGAACAAACTTGATCTATTTTTGTACCTAATGATTTCTTTCAATATTTATTTTTTGTAGAATAAAATATTTCATTCTGGCTTTTATGGAGTATTAAATGTTAATAATTTTTAAAAAATTAACATTCTATTACAGTTTCAATTTTGTGATATCAAAACTCGAAAATCGTGGCGACAAAAAAAATATTTATATGTATTAACCCTAGTACCACAACATGAGCTCGCCCGCGACCCTGTAGTTTCATTTTTCTTAAGCTCGTTTGCCGCAGTTAAAACACTGGGCTGAAATTCCACCCTGTAGCTTCAGTTCTCGTTTGTAGGTTCTGGTGTGTGTACGTATTTTTTGACCTGACTTTCGTTCTCACGGATAATAAGAATTTGAATTGGTTTTGACCCCACGTTGTGGTTTACGTTATAATATTTTGCGGTAAGCTAAATTTATTATTTTTTGTTTTGGTTGTTTAAATAATGATTTATTCTAGAAAAATGGCTGATAAAAATTTAAAACGCAGTGCATTCCAACTGTAGTATGAACGACGGCGTCCTCTTACTGAAACAGCTTTGGAAAGAGTTATACAAAGACGAGAATGACGATCTGGCATACAAGGAGTCCTTAGATGAAAACGATAGCGAAGACAAGGAAGTCTTAATTAACGATTCTGCATCTGATGAATGATCTATTAGAGAATTACAGGAAGGAACAGACCATAATGAGGAAGCTATGGAAACAGATGCTTCAGATGACCGTCCTGGATTTTTGGTCGTAATGGTTTTAAGTGGTACTCGCAGCCATTCATTTCAAAGAGAACGAGGACCTCTGCAAAAAATTTAGTTGTACTTAACTGGCCCAAAACAAAAATGTAAAAACACTAAAAGCCCGAAAGAAATATGGCAGCTATTTTTTACCGATGAAATTTTAGAGATAATTGTCAACAGCACAAATAGAGAAAATTACAGAAATTACAATGTTCTACAATTCGACTAAAGGTGGGGTTGATACGTTTGATCAACTCTGTCATTCGAAGACAGTTGCTCGAAAGACGAGAAGGTGGCCTTTAAGGATTCTTCATGGAATGTTAGATGCTGCTGGAGTCAATTCTTTTGTGTTACATCAATTTCAAACATTGCCGAATTGTAACGCCCATTCTACTTTTCTCAAAAACTTGGCTGATTCATTGTTGGAAGATTATATGAAGCAAAGAGTAGAAAATAACCGACTGTCAAGAAAGTTAAGACAATCGCTGAGACAATACCTTGAATACCCTAACGAACTACCACCCCAAGAGCCACAAAAGCGTTTATGTCGTTGTGATTTTTGTCCAAGATCTCGTGACCGTAAAGGACGCCATATTTGTATTTATTGTGAAAAAAATATATGTGCAGAACATCAGTTTAGGATTTGTGAAATATGTAAATCATAATCTTGATTTAAATATTTTATATTGGTCAGATTTGTTATGTTATTTTGACCACTAAAAAATGGTTATTTTTATTTTGTTGTTTATTTGTTAATCATACTCTTATTTCGGTATTTACTATAGAAACATTAAACTGTCATATAATAAACTATTTAAAAATGAAATAGTACCAAATACATTTTCTTATTTGTCATATTTGAGTTATTAGGGTAAAGTTTTTATTAGGGTCAAAGGCGACCCCACGTTGTGGTTCTAGGGTTAAACATGTACTTTTTACTAAAATTTTACTATATTTTACTATATTGTTTACTGTAGTTTTATACACCTTTGTGCTAATATTATAACTGACATCTAAGTATATTATAATTTAACTGCTTTTATTTAAAATCCCAACATTTGTTTGTAGAATATAGTTTGGCAATGTGAAAGTAATAAGGAATGTAAGAACAAAAATGAGAATGTCAGATTTTGAATTAATAATAGTGATATTACATATTATGCTATTAAAATATTAATCTTAGACATAAATTTAAAAAATGCACATTAGCAATAATTATTAATATGAATATTTATCATTCTTAGCAGCCTACTTGATGCATGGCAAATTTTACATTCCAACTCTTATCAAAATAGCAATTTATAGTATGTTTTATTATTCATGTTACGATAACGACAATATTGTTTATCTTAAAATTGATAATATGACATTATTTGTCATCAGTTTGGATATATTCCATCGAAAGGTTTGTCTGTTGTTTATTGTTTTCTATTTATTTAGAGGAGAGCCTTGTAAATCAGAGAGTCAACTAAACACTATTTTACTACCGTCAATCGTCTTAAACATTACAAGTATTCAAGGTATGTATTGGGGTCGGAGGTCTTTTTATTTTAAAGTATTGAAGGCCAAAACGATGATTGAAGATTCTGTTGAAGATTATTAATACTCGGATGAAACCCATGGATTATAAAACCATATACTTGAACTTGAAGATTGGCTTAAACTGTGATGAGTCAAATTAATGGTCTTAAAATCATCACAGATAAAGGTTACAATATAAAAAGGCAATATACTACCAGTTTGTATCTAAAATACTGTATTACCAATAAATAAAGTGGGTAATCTGCGTATTATAATATAAGTATAAAAAACAATAATTATTGCGGTCAGCAATTGCTACTACATGTTCAGATATCATATTAGACTTTTTCTGATCCCAATCCGCTCGGGATGGATAGAGGTAACTAGTAATACCGCAGATAGAGGGTGTAGTGATATAGTTCATTTAAAAATTATAGCTTTATAAAATTTGAACATTTGATCACTTTATAATTTAATGTAATGTTCTATCTCTTTATATTGTTGTAGCTAAAATTACTATTTTACATGTATTATACGTGTGTGGGAGATTACAATAAACGTTGGGTTTTAAATTAAAAAACCCAATCAGACATATGTTTTGAATATATTAGCAAAAAAACCTAAACTATATAAGCAAAGTTCTCACTTCACTTCTATATTATAAATGACATTGATATTAGTGATATAACGAATGCCATTTCTTAAACATTCGCTAATTAAATATCTGCTAGAGATAGTGCAAACACTCCTGACCACGGTGCAGTAGACGAAATTTGATTTAATCCCCACTTCCATGTGAAACGCACTGTACTATGCACTGTATCATTCCCCTCCATGGTCAGGAGTGTTTGCACCAACTTTACCTCTCTAGTACCTATCTGCGAACCCGCGTCAGATTAAATGAAATAAAAAATTCCAAAACTCACAAAAGTATATCTTTAAAAGAAACGATAAATATACCAATGGATACCAGTGACAGTGAAGACACGCCTCTTCTTACTTTTCAAAACCTTGTCTATCTTTTAAGTAAAGCTGCCACAGAATACTCAGCAGAAAACGCGTGGCAAATGACATCCACTCCCTAACATGGCGGAATGTAAACAAGGAAAGTTACGGCCTTTTTCCTAAAGTACTGCATTATTTAGTTACAAAAATTTAATATTCTTCTACTGAAGTTTAATAAGTAACTTAAAAAAAGTTAATTGATATTTAGTATAAATAAATCTGAATATTTCTTGCATAATACCCAATGATAAATTAAAGTGGAGCCTAATAATGTGATTACAAGGTTAAGTTACCCTTTCGTAATAATAAAAAAAATAAAAATTAATAGATTTTTATTTTATTGACCTATCATCATTTTTTTTTCTGATTCATATTTGCAAAAAATTCGAACAAACTTTGCGAATGCGAATATTCATTACACCGCTACCTAATCGATATATAATTTAATTGCTTATATTTAAAACATCAAAATTAATTTTAAAACATGGTTGCAACTTTTGGCATGTGAAAGTAAGAAGAAAAATAAGAACAAAACCGAGAATGTTACATTTTGAACTATTACCATTTGTTTCAAGATGTTTTTCTAAGAGTATTTAAGTACCATACTTACTATAGTATAGTAAGTATAGTATACTATAGTATATTTTACTATAACCATTACTTTTAAGATGTTTTTCAAAGAATCTTTGTTGTCAAGAGAGTATGGTATAAGCACAAAAACTTTTGCATTGTAAATAAAACTTTTTTGCCGTGGTAAGAATACAATTTAAAAGTATATTGTTAGTAAATCATCCCCTTTTTATATTTTAGGAAGCTTTTAAAGATTCCTAAAAATTCTAGTTATTTTGTATGACTCATCTAAAAGAGAAAATAAATTTCTCCACAATCTTTTTTCAGCCTTGTAGCACAATTTGAGCAAGTTGAGGCATAAAACAGCAAGATTCACGGCGATCACATTTTCAACTTATTTATTTCCGGAATCGTACGCCATTTTCTTTTAACCTTCTAGTATGTCACTGGAGATCGTCTTCTGTTTTAGGAATGTCAAAAATTTCCGCAAATAGAGGAGGTAGCGTCAGCTTCGTCCAGTTCATTCGAAACCAGTCAAGATGGGCTGTGTGTTTAGCTCCCAGATTTTTTAGCTCTGGTAATTTTATAAGTAAATTTGAAAATATTTGTGGTTCACTTGCATGATTACGTCCAACCTAAAAATAAAAAATATATCGTTTAAAATTGATCTTACGAAATTACGACAAACTAGATATATTTTTTGTATTTTGATAAATTATACACAGCTGAGACATAGTTGCGAAAAAATACAAATAAACATAAGGTTAACATGCATGGGATCCTAGATTATATCTCGAAACATGCACTATTTAGTAGAAGATATAGTGGTAGTACAGTGTACCCACTTTGTGTTGAAACTAAGACATTTTTTTACTTTTCACAGAAACAATCTTTCTTGAAAGCGTAAATCTAAATTTTAAAAGATTCATTACTCTAGTTGTCAAAGACGAAAATGCCACTGAAGACTCAAAAAATTATAAAAGCTGAATTTTACTAATAATAGCCATTTTGGGCCACAAAATATGCAAACAAGTTTAAGACTCTTACCCCCGGCTTCCCCCTAAGCTCCCGCCCGTTTTAAATAAAAAAATGTAGCTTAGATAATTTTGAACATGTGAACATTAAAAATGTTTATTATCACTTTTTGTGTCAAACGAATCGTTCTCTCAGAAACAACACCTAAAGCGACCGGTGATTTTGAATGCAAATCGACAATCGACAAAATCGATTTAGCAAGAATTTGTAGACCGTAGCAAAAATGTTTCAAACAAAAAATATAGCTAAGATAATTCTAAACAAAAAAATTTATTAGCACTTTTTGTGTAGAATGAACCGTTCTCTTATAAACAACGTTTGAAGCAACCGGCCATTCTAAATTTCAGTTCTACGCGCTAAATCAATTTTAAACAAAATTTGTATTTACTCGACGGTAAAAATTCGATATCTTTTGATCAGATTGCCCTGTCGACATAATTCAAAATGCGTTTTAAAGGATAGCTTTTGTTTGCACTTTTCGTGTTGTGCAGCAAAGAAATTTAGTTTTTATAAAGTTGTTACATAAATAAACGTTACTCGATTTTTGCCATTTTTTATGACTCTTATGAGATCAATAAAATGTATCAATTTTATGGACTATTGAATTTCTATTGTCTTTAATACCTATAGCATGAAATTTTGGTTTTTAAGACTTGTTTAAACGGGTAAAGTTGTGAGGAGAGTAGAGAGTAGAGTCGACTCTACTCGCTACTCTACCAAAAATGTCTTGATACCGTTAACATGAGGAGAATTACAAGTGTATTACTGATGCTAGTATATTGTGGAGTAGGTGTTTGTTTAGTGCAAAATGAATTCAAGAAAAAAAATTGATTCAAAATTGTTTAGCTACAGTTGCAAAGGCATTTGTAACTGAAATCGCTGAAGCTATCGATGATGAGGTAAACAAAAAAAGAAAGGAGTGGATGAGAGAGTGGCTTACAAGAAAGAATACACACGTTACGTCAGCTCTTCTGCTAAGAGAACTAGCCTTAGAGGATAAGTTGGAGTATAAGATGTGTCTAAGGATGACCCCAGGGAAATTCGAAGAATTTCTGAATATGGTGCATGACAAAATCGAACGACAACATACGTTTATGAGGGATTCAATAAAACCAAGAGTGAAGATTAAGATTATGTTGAATATTTTAGCTACTGGGAACAGTTATCGAAGCCTTTCTTATTTTTTTTAGGGTTTCAAGACCTGCAATTTCAAAGTTGGTCCCCGAGGTGTGTGATGCCATCTCCGCAGCTTGCCTCATACTTTTATTTCTGTAGTGTACACTACCTTAATTCAATAAACACTGGTATTCGCCATACATCTCTACAAGTTTTAAAGTTTCGTCTTCGGTGAACCTAATTTTCACTATTTATACAAAACACAACTCCAGCCGGAATGACAGCATCCCTATGCATTCTCCCACCTACTCTATTCTACCAGAATTGACCGCGTTTCATGGGTAGAGTGCGCAGACGAGTGGGAATTTTGGCGGTGGTGGTGGTAGTAGTGTAGAGTTACTTTGCCACATGTTGCTAGTCACTCTACTCTACCACATACTATGCACTCTACTTGATACTCTACTGCGCTGAGCGTTTTTACGGGTAGAGTTACTCTACTCTACGAAGTATTTGAATCATTACTCTACCTATGTAAACGGGTCTTTAGTTTTGACAACAAATGTGAGGCATTTGAAATATGCCTAAAAAACGCTGAATTAAAATTTTCACATTACAAACTTTTAGTTTTTCAAAATTAAAAACAACCTCAGCTACAAACTCCACCTCTCAACTCTTCGTAGAGGCATTTCCCGTGACGTGCTGTCGTTTGTAATGTAAAAGCCTTAATTCTGCGTTTTTCGGCATACTTCAAGTGCCTCATATTTATTGTCAAAACTCAAAATCGAAATTTCATGTTACAGGTTTTAAAGATTAAGCTCTAAGAATGGACATTCTTCTACATGAATTCAATGAAAGTGATAACTTTTATTAATCTCATGAGTAAAGTATAAATGGCAAAACTCGTCACCTTTAAATTGCATTTTAATTTTTCTCGATAGGACTCTTTAATCAAAATATATCGAATTTTTACCACCAAGTTGATACAAATTTTGTTTAAAATTTATTTCGCGCGTTAAAGTGACAATTAGAATGGCCGGTTGCTTCAAACGTTTTTTCTGGGAAAACGGTTCATTCTACACAAAAAGTGCTAATAAATTTTTTGTTCAGAGTTATCCCAGCTATATTTTTTGTTTAAAACATTTTTTCTACGGCCTACAACTTCTTCTTTTCCAACTATACTAATTGTTCATAAAAATACTAACCAGACGATTAACTCCCAAACTAGATTTCTATCGACCAATAGAACAGGCAGGTTTCAGATCGATATGGTTTAAACGACCACTTACTAGTTATAGAAAAAATAGAGACCCCTTATAGAAAAAATAGGGGAATACAACAATTCACTGTCGTAACATTTATGGATTATGTCAAAGCGTTTAAGTCGGCAAGACGGTTAACAAGACAATATAATTAGTTGGTTTATATTAAATTTCTATTTATTGGTTTATATAATTATTAAATTTATAGTTAAATTTTTCATGTAAAACTACAGGCTCGATCAAAAGCTGGTAAAAATCAAACTTAAAAAAAAACAGAACCTTCTATGAACAATAGGAACCAAAACAAAAAAAATTGTGCCACAACTCATAGATGGCATATACAGTGAAAGCGCAAAAACCCGTTAAAATGGTGATACTCGTAAAATACCGCCACGGAAAACTGGAGAGGCAAACTATCGAGCTACGTTTTTTTATTGAAACTTCAAATTGAAGCGCACTGGCACAATTTGCAATATCTTGGCTTCTATCGCACGTAGAACCTTCATTTTTACCGGGATATGACTTTTTACGCCTTCTCGGTATATACCATCTGTAAAATGGGTAATAAAATTTAAATCTTTATTTATAATTTGTTCAATACTCAGCTCTTAATGTTAATACATAATGAAAATATAATTTTAAGAAAAAAAATGCTAATAATATTAAGAGGGCGATGGTCTCTGAGGCACCTGGTGTTCAGGATGGGCCTCGTCTCTTTGAATTTTATGAAAATTCCATACAAAATCACAGCAAAGTCGTTACTAGGGAGAGGTTTTTGGGGTTGATGATCACGAATATCTTGACGGCGCTGGTTTCCAAAGCACCTGGTGGCCAGGACAGGTCTCGTCTTATTTATTTTTATAGAAATTCGATACAAAATGAGTGCAAATTCGTTACTCGGGAGTTTTTGGGGTCATAAATGCAACTAGTTTTGTTGAGATCCATCCAATTGCAAAAAATTGTTAGGTTTTGGTCTTTTTACTACTTCATTGCCTCGCCTGGTATAACGTGGCTTGGACTAGGAGACATTTTTAATATAATTGATATTAGGTAGGTAGATTAGCTAATTTATTTATTTTTATCACTTTTCTGTTACCTTTCTGTATCTGAAATCTCTTGTAAACGTTTATTTAATTACATTTGTTTTGAGCAATGTACTATTTAATTATAAATATTGTTTACTTAGATATATAAAAGATATATCTGTGAAACAATAGAAAAATCGGCCGCATTTTTAATTATTTGGAGAAAATGTAGGTATGTGATTAATTGAAATACTACCTGAACTTTTAAAGCTTCTATTAGTTTATCTTGATGTTGTTCTATTGTCTTTACATCTGTAATGCCGGGTCGGTCCGCTGTTAGAAGAACGACAGCTGAAAACAATCCCACCTCAGTATCGTTGAGTGCCAAAGCGTTGAAACTTGCGGCAAAATGAATTACGGATGATGTAAAATCGCCCTGAAAATAATGTCAATTTTAATTAATAATTAAATACACGTGAAAATGTCTTCTCATTAAGGATTACAGTGAAATACCTGCGATATACAGGGTGGGCCACTCAACAGAGTTCAGCCTGACATTTGACATAATTTATTAGATTTTGTGAAAATGCCGAAACACGTCGATTTTTATTCCAAAAGGGTCATCTTGTAACGATATAGATATTTGATATTTGGTAACCCCCTCCCTTCCAGTAGAACAAACTCTTAATTTTAAATTGGAAATAGACCATGTGTGGCTTCCCATTAGACAGGTATTTTTATTAGTAACTAAATTTTAGTTACTATTTGAATTGTTGTTGATAGCTTTTAATAGCGGTATTAAATAAATATATTTTAAATGAAATTATTCTATATTTTTTAAAAATGAAAAGAGTACAAGAACAGCAAAATTATTTAACCAACTTTATGAATATAAGTAACTTCTAACTAAACGGGATCAGTATCTGATAAAAATATAGTATGAAAAGCGTGAGAACTGAAGCGGCAGATGTAACAATTTTATGGGATTTTAGTTTGGAGCCTATTCAAGAGTATACCTCTGTCCACAGAGTACTAAAACGTTACAAATTTGATCACAAGAATATGTACTTACTACAGAAAACAAATGAATATGATCTAGACAGGCGCCTGTAGTGTATTCGTTTGGGCAGTAATTCATGGGGATCGCATTATGGGGCCATTCTTTTTGCAACACGATTTAAACACAGAAGCATATCTAAATTTATTAAAGGACGCAGTTGATCCCATTTTGACAGATATACAGATGAGAGATAATCGAAAAAGATCATATTCATTTCCATATTACATACTGGAGATTCAGATTATATACAAGCTATGATTAATGCAATTGTCCGTACGTTCAAAAACAATCCACTTCAAAAAGTCGTCAAATGTTCTAAAAACGGCGCTGCAATGTATTGCCGATCAAACAAAATATTCTAAGGAGAAAGCAGTTGAACAGAAATTATAAAAAAACTTACATAGAAGTAAGAACAAACTTAGAGTTAAGATTCAACCTAGAGCTAAAATTAATCTTATTACAGGAATTAATATTAAACTCATCAGTCTTCCGGGTTGAACAGCGTCGATTATCATTGCGTCAAGCTTTCGACATCCTCTTCGATGTCTTCTTCAGGGGTTCCGAGGTCTTAGTCTTCCAAGCACCCAGTCACTACTACACTAATCACTAATCAAATCATTACTGGTGCTGGGAATAGAGACCGGATCATTTATACCGTGGATGGTGACGTGGCTTAGGTAGAGGTTGGCATGGGGGCCAGCGTAGGATTGATGCAGGGATTTGCACTGGGGTTGGCGCGGGGATTCATGCTGGTGTTGGCGCGAACATTTCTGACAGTAGGATTTTTATTGATGGGTGGAGCGGGGGTATTTTCTTTATGGGAGGTCTCCAAGTCGAAAGTACCGTATGCCGTCATCCCTTTTATTGAGACAATTTGGCCTTCTTTAAATTTCTATGGCAACTTGGATAATCCTTGGTGTATAGAAGCAGATGGGGGCTACGGTTCTGGAGTTTTCAAAATCAATTTTGTGACTTGTATGAAGATGGTGTTGACTTAGAGCTGAAATTGAGTCGGAATGGTGAACAGAAATAGAATGTTCATAAATTCTATTTTGGGTTATATGACTTGTTTGGCCAATATAGGACTGGTGGCAGTCTACACAAGGAATTTCATAAACTTTGTTCATTTCGAATGTTCTTTTTGATTGATCGGACAAGAAATGAAAGTTTTTGTTGAGAGGTAAATATTGTATTTATTCCTATTGATTTTAAAATTTTGTCAGTGACCCCTTTAATGTAAGGAGGAAAAGCTTTAGTATGATAAGAGTCTGAGTCTTTGGGTTGAGATTGAGTGGGAGATTGATGTCTGTGGATGCTTCTACTTATGTGATTTTCGTATTATTTGTTTTTGACGAGGGCTTGCTTTAAACTATAGAGCTCAGCGGGTATACATGCATCATCTCACAGGTGTATTGATCTGGAGGCAAGCGTATTATTAACTGAACTAGTCTGTGATTATCATTTTCTTCTACGTCTTGACCCGGAAGGCGAATAGTTTATTTTCATTATGAGAGTGAAAGATTTTTCATTTCATTTAAGAAAAGTTATGTTTGCCAGTTTTCTTGATATCAAGGTTAAATATATATTAATACTTACATCATACATCGTCTCCAACTGCTGTCTGCTAACTGTAGTTCCGTCATCAAACATCATTGAAGTGTTAGAGGTCAATCTCGCAACGTGACTCAACCAAATTTCGAAAAATCCCATTTTAATCAAAATAAGCTGATCGTCTTGTCCCAAGTCGCAAAACCCAGGAACTCTTTTAGCAAATTCAACCACCCTTTGAACGCACGGCGTAATATTAGAAGCGAATTGTTGCCATAACCAGCATCTTTCCATTTCCATGGATTCAGCAGTAGAAGAAGCAACCTCACTATCTGATTCGGGACTCGCGGGAGGAAGAATTATAGGTTTTCTTGAGATATTCTTAGTGTGCTCTTCCGTGTACCTAAAATAAATAAAAATATTAGAATTATTCATTCAAAATTTACAATAATAATTACCGTTTTTTTTCATGATTCTGTCTATTTACTTGATATTTTGACATGCCTTATTTAGATAATACACACACATCTTAAAATGGTTACTTAACATTGAAAAACCAAGAACCGAAAGATTATATCTGTTGTTATTTTTAAAACTACTATATAATTACGTATTATTATGGAACAATTATCAAAGTTATGACTTTTTGCATTATATGTTCGGTACATACAGATTTTAGATTTTTAGATTTAAAAGAAAAAAATTAAAAAAAAAAATTGATATTGCTTCCTAGAACTTTTTTATACTGCTACCTGAAAGATATTTTGTGTATTTTCTATCATCATCAGTCAGCCATTCTTTTCCACTGCTGAATATAGGACTCCACCAACTTCTTCCACATATTCCGGTTTTGAGCGCTGTGCAAAGACTTGCTTATTATTATCTTTATATCATCGCTTTATCTGATTGGTGGTCCACTACTACACTCTTTTAACTTCTCTGGTTCTCCATATTATTAGTCTTCTGGTCCAACGGTAGTCAGATATTCAGACTATGTGACCTGCCATTCTCCATATAGACTTAAGACTGTATAAACTAAGGCAAAATATCAACTATTCTCCTTTTCTGTCTTATGTCAGGTCAGTGTTCGGTATTCTGTTTTTCCTGGTGATTTTTAACATCGCTCTTTTGTCAATATTAAGTATTTTTTAAACTCTGCCTGGGGGTTATGAGCGCGAGGACTAGGTGGATTGAGAAATAGTTCCAAAAGTAAAACAAAGATTTAACGAAAACCATGTCAACGCAAATGGAGAACTCATGCTCGTGCATTTAACGAACTGAGAATCAATAATACATTTTTTGACCATAAGCTCCAGTATAAATATACATTTGAAAACTCCAGGGGTCACAAATATATGATTGATTTTATAGTCACTAATAGTAAAATCCACCCAAAGCAGATTCTAGATATTCAAACTTTAAACTCAGCAGACGCATGGAGTTAACACAAACTAGTACTAGCAAAAATAAGAATGAAAATAACACCAAAACATTTCAGAAACTATAACAGAAGATACAGCTAAAACAAATAGGTAACATCGAAGATATAAACGCAAGCTGCGAGAAAATTAAAAACAACATTAAAGACGCAGCAACAGAAGCTCTAGGAAAATGCAAATTCAAACTGGGCAAAAGAAACAACAACAATACACCATGGTTCAGAAAAGAAACGAGAGGCCTACACGAAGTACAAAACATCAAATACTCCAGAATCCGAGACACCTATAGAAGAATAGGAAATGAAACAAAGCAGTTGGTAAGAAGAACAAAAAATGAACACTGGGAACAGTTTACAAAAAGGATGGAAAGTGACTTCTACGGTACACAAAAACAAATATGGAGATTCAAAAGAAACCAACGGAAATTAATGACAGAATTAAAGGAATACAATCACATAGCAGCAAACGAATGAGAAAGATACCTGACAGAACTGTTTAAAGGAAAGGTAAATAATAATTAACACAATAACGTACTTGAATTAAGACACGAAATAAAAATCAGTTTTCAAGAAGTAGAGATAGCCATAAATTCACTCCAAAATAGAAAGTCACCAGGACCAGACGGAATATCCAAAGAGCTTCTAAAACATGGTCGAAGAAAGTATAACCCTAGAGATGAAGAAACTTATACAAAAACTAATTTTGCACTGCAAGATATCGGACGCATGGAGAAACAGCATAATGATACCAATGTTCAAAAAAGGAGATAAAGAAGACCCCAACAATTAGAGTGGTATAAATCTACTGAACACCGCACTTAAGCTTACTACAGAATTCTTAACGAACCAAATCAATAAAATAACAACTTATCAGATAAACAACAAGGATTCAGATCCGGAAGATCTTCTAGACAAATCACAGAAAAGGAAAGTACAATAAACCAGCATATCCATCTTTTATAAACCTAAAAAAGGCTTTAGATCGCATCCAAGTCAAAGACATCTTATACCTACTGTATAAAAGAAATATGCCAATCAATATTATACAAATCATCGAAAACATCTACTTTCATATTCGAATACAGGTAAAGATAAATGGAAAACTAACACAGTTTATACCAGTACAAAGCGGAGTCAGACAGAGTGACTCGTTAAATCCACTTTTGTTTAATATAATAATCAACGACATAATACAAGCAGTACGTAAAGGTTATGGTCACAGAATGAAAAACAAAGAAATCCAAATATTATGTTATTCAGACGATCGCCGAGACAGAAGACGAGCTCCAAATATTAACACAGATCTTCAATACAACAGCCAAGAAATACAATATGATAATATTAGCAAAAAAAAACAAATGTATGACATCTAATAACCCCCTACGATGTAAAATCGAAATTGATGAGAAAATAATTAAGAAGGAAGCAAGGGTTAGATATCTGGGAATAGATATAACTAGTTACGGAGATGTTAAAGAAGAAGTACGACAACAAAGCTTAAAAGCAAGTAAAGCGGCGGAATCTCTTAATAACACAATCTGGAAGAACAAACACTTAAGACAAGACCCAAAAACATAATCTATAAAGCAGCGATTACACGTCTAAAACGAGACGACTACTAGAAACAACAGAGATAAAAAGACTCCGACAAATATCAGGGAAAAGTCTGTTGGATAGGGAGAGAAGCGAAAGCATAAGAGGAGCATGCAATTATGGAAGACATAAATGGATGGGTGACAAAACAGAAACACGAGTAGAACGAACACATTAGTAGAATGGCAGAGGATAGAATCGTACGAATAGTACGAGGTAAGTCACCAAATGGACGAAGAAGTACTGACAGACCAAGAAAAAGATGGTGCAATAATTTAAACAATTTAGGAGGCTAAGATTAAAGAAGAAACAGGCTTTAAAGTTGTTTCTGTCTTTTACATACAAGAAGGAAGAAGAAGAAGATAAATTATTTTTTATTTCTATACATTTTGGCTCCAAAGATACAGACTTCTAAGAAATCCTATTAGCTTTTTCGGAGCTAAGTTTGGTGCCTGCTTAGATTCTTAAAGAGTAGTCCTAGGTATTTATGAAATTGGCGAATTATTATCGTTTAGTTGCAGATAATTAGTTCGACCGTTCCCTCTGCATTTTAAGCTAAGTTCCCCAAAATATTGTGCTCCCGAATTTGACAACATCTACTAGACTATAGTGGATATCAATAACTCAATCTGGAAAACTCAAGATTGGTACCAACTCAAGCAGTTGGAGAGGTACGTAGTTCTTTCAATCCAAAAACCAAATAAAGAATCCAATTTACCAGATTCATATAGAAAAATCTGCCTAGCGTCATGTGTTTTAAGAATTTTGGAACATATAATAAGAAGAAGATTAGAATCCTGGCTAGAAATGATAAGAAACTTCCACAGTATCAATTTGGATTCCACAGGAAATACTTCACACTAAAAAATATTGACATTTTATAACAGATATTAATACTTTTTTTCTAGTTCTAAACCAGTGACTGCTCTCTTTGTAGATATAAAACGCGTTTATGACAATGTAAACCTAAAAATTTTATACATACTGTAAAATTATACATTAACAGAACAATCTCATGAAGAATTGGGAATAAAACAGTAGGAGAAAGAAATCTTAATATTGATCTTCCATACCTGGTAACGGGTCAAATCACAGACAGCTGCACACAACTGATTCATATTATAATCAGATTTGTTCTGCAATTTTACACTCCTTAATCCCGAGATGTAACACCATTGTGCCCAGGGAATGCGTGGTATGGAGGAAAAATTGTTTCCTTAAGCGATGCCACAAAGAACCGACAAACTATTATAGGGAGGGAAGGGGGGGGGGATTGCCATAACACGGCAAAGGCGCACTGCCGTTGCTGACTGTATTTCGTCCCAACTCGTAGGGATAAATATGGACAATAAGATGATAAAAGAGTAAAGATATCACTTAGAAGAGGGCTCAGAAATAAGTAATTCTTCTGAGCTCGTAAATCTAAACACAACGGGAACAACCAGAGGTGACTTAAGTTACGAGTTCTATCTCCGCCCCAAATACTGAGTCAGGTATTAAAAAACACCTCTCTGGAGTTCTAGAAAAGAGGATGAGGACAGAGGCAAAAGACCTTGGAAGAATACCATTCCTCCTACTAGGGGAAAATGAAACTAATTATATGTTTTTGGAGTTACCTGGTAGTCTCCAAAAACTGTTTGCCGCCTGCGATCTAATGCCTTGCAGTAATGCATAATATTGATTGGTGTAGGTTCTCTAGCCCCATGATATGCAGGTGTCCCTGAACTCGCGCATTTCCACTGCTAGTTTTTTTGTAGTACCTCAGCCCTTTTAGCACATGTCCATCCAATATACATTTTGCCATGTACCAGGTATATTTTCGCAGTGAGAGTTGTTTTTCGTTCGGATCAAGTCGTGAACGGCGCCTTTTGACAGTCCAAGACGTCCCAAGGCTGGCTTTGGACCGAAGTATTTTCTAGTTAATGTTTGTCTAGTATGTTTAACAGCTCATTACCTTGTATTCACAGATGACTTGGCACCCATAACAGTGCGACACTGTTATGATTTGCCAAAATATCGAGATATTCTCGGCATTTTCACACTAGCCTAGAGTCTACATTAGGGCTCCTAAGAGCCCTCATTTTATTGTATCTGGTTTTATATCTATCTAATCAGCCAAGCAATAACCATATTTGCAAATAGGCTCCTCACTCTTTTCGTTCGTTTCTTTATCCTGATCTCTTTGCAGCGATACCGATTTAAAGAACGGTGTTTAATATTAATTGACCGTCTAAGCTGTGATATTTCTCTTTGTGTTCTATGCTAAGATTATGCCAAAAACTTTTCATTTATTGGACCTTTCTTGTGTAGAGGTATGATTACGGTATTTCTCCAATCCATTAGCGGTGATGAAATCATAACCTGCTGCTTTG